ACCCGATAATCACGCCGCTGACAGTAGCTCACATCGGCCCCTACCGAGCTTCCCGGTAGGTCGGACCTCGGCCAGGTTCACCTCGGCCCTCATACTTAGCATCTGTCAACGCTAATGGTGGTGATCTCGGCGGTCCGAGCTGGGCATGACTCATGAGTCATCTTGGAGCACCAATAGGGGCCTTCCACGTGTCCAGGGTATTCTCTTCCCCAAACAATATGTATTTTTTAAAAAATTTATATACAAAAGCTCAAAATCTCACTGATTATAAGAGATTTCTAATATATATATGTGTGTGTGTGTGTGTGTGTGTGACGGTATTTAATACTTGTGAACACTTATCTATCAATAAATAAGGCTATTAGGTGTTTCAACTGAAGTTTCTTGATGGATGCTCTACAATAAGCCTATGTGTAACTTATTGAAATAGTTGGACTTATTTAATCTTCCCAGTTGAGTTAAAAAAGTAAAATAATACAATTTACTTCGAGGTATTTCTTTTGAAACTTAAATAACTGAATAGAAACTAAACTCAAAACTGAGTAAAGACATGTGACATTTTGAAACTTAGAAACCCTATAAAAACTAAAAGAATGGAAAATATTTTCTCCTAAATTTTACTATATTCAAATGTTCCAAGAACAATCGATTATATAATATAAGTGTAACTAATACTAGAAATCATATAATATCTTGTTATAAAATCATCAATGGTGTTGTGTCCAAATTTTATTTTGACAGGTGGTTCGTTTGAATGCCAAATCTTTTTCAAACTATAGCGTACCCTTCTAAAGTGTTGYCAAAAAATTTCATATCACTGCCATATAGTATTCATCTTAACTTGATAATAAATACTGCATCCCCAAATCAGCTACTAAAAAAAGATGTAGACTTTCATGTTTTATTTGAAATTTCTAAAACTGATTCAAACGTGGTTGTTAATACCAGAATCTAACGCTACAAAAGATAAAGGCCAGCACCAGTACATGTCTTTACCGAACATACCTATTATTTTTTCRTTTACCATAAGGTTATAACAAATTTTTGTTTTGTTTTGCCATTTTTTTTTATCTGATCTTGAATTTAGAAATCTAATAATTCAGTGGTTTACAAAACTTTCAAAATTTTTAATTTACTTAACTTAAAAACCCATTTTAGTCGGACTCATTAATTTTTCGTTAATTATGAAGTTAAAAATTTTAGAGTATTTATTCATGAAATAAAAATAAAAGAAACATGTGATTTTCAACCCATTAAAAGTTAAAATACATAAAATAACTAAATTGATAACTAAAATAAAGTTATCTCATTAATTTTTCATTAATTACTTAATTAAAGAAACTTTAGTTTATTTCCAAACAGGACGTGTGTGACCCAATCATTTCAAGTACTTAGTATAAGCTACAGGGTATAGTGCAAAAAAATAAAAATAAAAAATCTGCAAATGAATAAAACAACATAAACTTTATGGCCTAAATGACTAAAATAACTCAAACTTTTGCCTAAAATAAAAAACTTAAAAGTTTATGGCCAAAACAAAAAAATTCAGAACTAAGATTTTCTTCTTTTACAGAGTAAACGTTAGAGTTTGAAAAATCAGATTTTGTTTTTGAGATCATAACCAATTTGACTTCAAAATCTTAACCAAAACAATCTAACAAATTCTCAGTCTTACATAACAAACCATCTGAAAAGTCTCAAAAGCCTCAGTATAAATAGAGACCAAGCTTCCATTTCCAATCCATCACCATCAGTTCTTTCTACTGAAAAGCACAACAAAAAATGGCTAATCCATCAATTTTCCTTGTTCCAATTCTTGCTTTGTTCTTCGTATCAGCTAACGCCAGAGTTTTCCCCACAAGAACAATTCCCCTCGACGACTCCTCACCCTTTAACAACTTCACTTTTGTCTGTGATTCTTCGAGATATGCCAATCTTGGCTTAGACATTTCACAATATCGCTTCTGTGACTCATCTCTCTCCTTCTCCGAGAGGGCTAAAGATTTGGTAGATAGAATGACTTTGACTGAGAAAGTTGCTCAACTCGGCCACCGTGCTGCCGGAGTAGCCCGCATTGGGCTGCCACCGTATAATTGGTGGTCGGAGGCTCTCCACGGYGTCTCCAACGTCGGCCCCGGCACCCGATTTGATGATGTTGTGCCGGGTGCCACTAGCTTCCCCACTGTCATTACCACTGCAGCTTCTTTCAATGAAGCCCTCTGGAAAACAATTGGCGAAGTAAGTTTATAAGCTTCTCAAATTACTTGTGATTAGAAGTATGGAAATTTGACATGGTGTGTTTTGTTTTGATTAGGCTGTGTCAACTGAAGCAAGAGCAATGTACAATCTGGGGAGGGCTGGATTGACATATTGGAGTCCTAACATCAATGTGGTTCGAGATCCAAGATGGGGACGAACCTTGGAAACGCCCGGTGAAGACCCTCTCGTCGTCGGTAAATACGCTTCCAACTATGTTAGAGGACTTCAAGATGTTCAAGGAACTGAAAACACCAAAGATTTGTACTCAAGACCTCTCAAGGTCTCGGCCTGTTGCAAGCACTATGCTGCTTATGATGTCGACAATTGGCTCGGGGTTGATCGTTATCATTTCGATGCCAGGGTAAGACGTGCCAAATTTTACACTTTTAACTTCTCGTACAAACTTTTTAAGGCCAAAGTGCTGAAATTGCTGTATTTTTTTCTTAAGGTGACTGAGCAAGACATGTTGGAGACATTCCTCAAGCCATTTGAGATGTGTGTGAAAGAAGGAGATGTTAGTAGTGTGATGTGCTCTTACAACAGAGTTAATGGCATTCCAACTTGTGCTGATCCAGTTCTCTTGAAGGACACCATTAGAGGCAATTGGGACCTTCATGGGTAATTAATAACAGACAAATATCAATTAAAATTAATCAATATATGTGTATATATATTGATTATAATTCATTTTCTTCTTCTCTAATTCAGATACATAGTCTCAGACTGTGACTCAATTGAAGTTTTTGTTGATGATGCACATTTTCTCCAAGACACAAATGAAGATGCTGTTGCTCAAACTCTCAAAGCAGGTATAAATTTTCAATCTTTTCTCCAATCCCTTCATCTGGGTAATATTCTTTTAAATTTGTCTTAAAAACCCATCAATTAATTTTGATTTTTTTGTTGTTTTTAGGGTTGGATTTGGACTGTGGAATTTTCTATCCAAATTACACAGAGGGGTCAGTAAGGCAAGGGAAAGTGGGAGTGAAAGACATTGACAGATCTCTAAACTATCTATACATTGTTCTAATGAGACTTGGATTTTTTGATGGCAACCGTAATTTCCAATCACTTGGAAAACAAGATATTTGCTCTGATGAACACATAGAATTGGCCACAGATGCTGCCAGACAAGGCATAGTTTTGCTCAAGAATGATAACAGCACTCTGCCTCTTGATCCCAAACATGTCAAAACCGTAGCTGTTGTTGGACCCCATGCCAATGCCACTTCTGCCATGATCGGCAACTATGCAGGTCAAAATTCTGCCTATAACAAAGAACAGATTTGTCAAAAATCATACCCAGTACTTGAAATCATTTGGGTTTTTGTTATTTTTTTTGCAGGAGTACCATGCCGATTGAAGTCTCCGCTGGACGGGGTGGCGGAATTTGCAAAAGTGAACTACCAAATGGGCTGCGAGAACGTGGCTTGCAAAAACGACACCTTCATAT